CTCTATTAGCTGCACCTGGACCTGCAGGGACATAGTAGGTCCACCTGCATCATCACCTTGAGTCCACCTGAAGATCTGAATCAGTTCAACCACAAACCATCAACCTGTCTCTACTGTGCTTCACAACCAGAGATACCTGTAGTGATACCTGTAGTCATACCTGTAGTGATACCTGTAGTCATACCTGTAGTGATACCTGTAGTCATACCTGTAGTGATACCTGTAGTCATACCTGTAGTCATAACTGTAGTGATACCTGTAGTTATACCTGTAGTCATACTTGTAGTGATACCTGTAGTTATACCTGTAGTCATACCTGTAGTTATACTTGTAGTCATACCTGTAGTTATACCTGTAGTCATACTTGTAGTGATACCTGTAGTTATACCTGTAGTTATACTTGTAGTTATACCTGTAGTCATACCTGTAGTGATACCTGTAGTTATACCTGTAGTCATACTTGTAGTGATACCTGTAGTTATACCTGTAGTTATACTTGTAGTTATACCTGTAGTCATACCTGTAGTGATACCTGTAGTTATACCTGTAGTCATACTTGTAGTGATACCTGTAGTTATACTTGTAGTGATACCTGTAGTTATACTTGTAGTTATACCTGTAGTCATACTTGTAGTGATACCTGTAGTTATACTTGTAGTTATACCTGTAGTCATACCTGTAGTGATACCTGTAGTTATACCTGTAGTCATACTTGTAGTGATACCTGTAGTCATACTTGTAGTGATACCTGTAGTTATACTTGTAGTGATACCTGTAGTCATACTTGTAGTGATACCTGTAGTTATACCTGTAGTCATACTTGTAGTGATACCTGTGGTGATACCTGTAGTGATACCTGTAGTTATACCTGTAGTCATACTTGTAGTGATACCTGTGGTGATACCTGTAGTTATACCTGTAGTCATACCTGTAGTTATACTTGTAGTGATACCTGTAGTGATACCTGTAGTTATACTTGTAGTGATACCTGTAGTGATACCTGTAGTTATACTTGTAGTGATACCTGTAGTGATACCTGTAGTGATACCTGTAGTGACACCTGTCTGATG